ACACGAAGGAGCAGCCATGAGATCACCTCTGTCACCTGTGTGATATCCAATTTTACATGGAGATGTTTGAAAAGGTAACGTTAAGGAAAAGTCCGAAGTTATGGGTCAATTACGTGGATGACACTTTCGTGATCTCGCATTACGGAAAAGAGCGACTCCAGGAGTTTCTGGACCACCTAAACTGACAATACTCCATTATTTAAATTTACTATGAAAACGGAAGCTACAAAACAGTTGCCATTGCTGGATGTATTGGTCACTTGGACATGGAACTAGCAGTATATTGGAAGAAGACACACACGAACAGGTACCTGCAGGCTTCATCCCGGCACCACCCAAACAGAAGACGTTCGTGATTCAAGCCTTATTCCAGCGAACAGATAAATCCATGGAAATATCAATAGCAAAAACAAAATCAATGACTATCACTAAACACTAGACCACAAAACCGGCCATATTATTTAACTATTTCGAAGTAACTATCTCTAGCAATAGATACATACAATATCATAAAGAAGTATGCTTACAATTGATTAAAGCCGTAAAGGTATCTGGGTGATTACGGGATATCATATGGAAAAACAAAGCTATAACTACTAAAGGTAACTACTAAAATATATCTTTACGAAATACTATTACGCCTTATTACGATGTACGAGATTGTGTTAAGGGCAAAATTGTACTTAGAATATTGCACATTGTCGACGAAGGTAAATGATTTTCAACATTTGACAGTCTGACCGTGGTTTTAACAGTGAATATTCATCCAGAAGTTCCTGCACCAATATATTTCTGAATACAGTATAAGATTTCGCTTTCCATTTTATCTTTGTTTATGCTTTTGACTTTGTAACCGAAATATTTCCATAATTTACAAAATCATTATCATCATTGGACCAAAATCCAAACACTTATCAGCAAGATCTGTTTTTTTAGAAATCCTTTCTATTCGTATGAATAGTTCCATACCTATATGTATAAAGATCTGTTCAGAAGCTTCTTCTACAATGTAAAACTCGTAACTGCGATATCTTCATCAAAGTTATTATCTTATACAATTTTTCGAAATTTTTCACTCTTTGTTATCTAATTGTCATTTATATGTAAGGGACGCAATATTCTCAAAAATCTCTTCGTAGCATTACAGAGGTAATGGTCACTTATGGCTCTATATGCTCTGTATGTTCTGTAATTGTGTAAGACTAGAGTTCCCTCTGTAACTCTAGTCTTACACAATTTTACAGTTTTACACCAGTAGATTCAAATAAAGTTTTTTGTTTAATTTCGTCTATTTGCAGTACCTTTGTGCTCATTATACAGATTTGACTGCATTATTATGTCACGCAATTCTTGGCTTAATAAAGTGTTGAACATAAATCTGTACCAGCAAAAGTGGTAGACCAAAATGAACAGTAAATGAGTACATGTCGACCGAAACATCAAATATATGTATATAGGGTATGCGTGATGACATATGCGAGGGAAGCAAGGGCGAAAACAGCAAAAACTAATCGAACGAAAAAACACAATGAAATGAAAATCCTGATAATAATGCTGATAGATTATAGTAGAAGCAGCGATATTCGAGATGAGTGTGATGTAGTACGATGGATGAGAGCGATGGAAAGAGCATGTATATTAGGATATTTGAGTAAGTTCAACGGATTGGTTAAAATCGCTAAGCGGTGGAAGAAGCTTTCGCAAAAAAGAAGAAAAAGAAGCAGTTTGCTGTGTAACTCAAAGGAAACTCGAATCGATGATAATCTATCTATATTTTGATTTATAAACGTAATTGGGGTTGCTAGTAACCCAAATAGTATTACGAGAATTTTATATAAAGAAATGTTAATACAAAAAAATTTAAATTGCGGACTCCAGTGATTCTATTATGCGGGTTAATAGAGGGTTTCTTTCCCGGTACTCGCTTATTAGCCGACACATCGCGAAACTTTTCTCGCAGTTCTTGTTCTCACAATTTCATTAACTTGATTTTGAAAGGTTGGGCTATTTTTGGGGAACTTATCGTAATACTTCTTGGAGAGTTAGCAACTTTCAACTATCTGTACGTGGTGCATTTTAAATATTTCCTGAACTGATACTGAATAGTAGAAACACTTTTTGTAAAGTATATTAGCTGTGTGGTGTGTAAAAGTACTTCCTTTATGCAATTTTATTACAATATTTAGGTTAGATACGGTTAGCCGCACGGGAAGTCACACGTAATTTACAATGCCAGGAGGAAATCCCCCTAGTGTACAGCTATACATTTTAAAGAATTATTCATTTACTTTTTTTTAATTTAACTTGAAATTAGCAATTATATACGACCACATCTTAGAAACCATTGGTATACAATGACTTATGGGGCTAACTGTACGTATTAACGTAGGTGTTTACAATATCAGTCGACTCTGTCCGTCCAAAAATCCTTCCCTCTAACTTATCCTCGGTTTTCCCCTCCACATTCTTGGTATATGTCCATACTATCTTACTTGGTTCATTGTTATTATGTCTATTATGGTATGTGTTACTCCCAGCATCCTCTGTTGTTGCTAATCCTAGCCATTTTCGATTTACATACCGCTCATCGCCATTTCTGTTGCCTTCAGAATTTTCTCCGCTTTTCCTTTAAGTACCAATACTGCGCTACTCTATGTTATTGTACATACAGTAGTATTTCCTAGCTGATTATTTGTGGCCAAATATTTGCAGTAGCTGCCCTTTTTTGTATATCAGCTTCCAAACGCTATTCACTGTATTCCTCTATGAACTTCATGGCCATGTATTCCATATCTTGCTGATTTTGGCCGTCGGCGAAACATAGTGTGTAGATCATGTTGTCGTTTATCAGAATATCAGTACTTTTGGATTTTCTTTTGCACTGTTTTATTGCTTGCTCTAGGAATATTTTGAACAAAGTTGTGGATAGGCAGCACCCCCGCTTGAGTTTTTAGTAATGTGAAAGCCATCGACACTCTACGTCACATCTTGATTTTAGCTATTGCTTGTTGGTATAAATTTATTGATTTTATTGTGGTCATACTGAGATTGCTTCCCATAACTTGATTTAGTGGGTTCTTGATTATTGATTGACTTCCAGTCCGGAATCCTGTACACTCCTCTGCTTTTCTATAGCTTTGTTCTCTAGGTCTATTTTGTGGGTCAGGATCTTATCATATACTTAATATAGCATGTTAGTCACTGTTATAGTCGTGTGTATAGCGTACTTGTTTTAATCTGTAATTGTCGCAGTTCTATCTGTCTCCATTTTTATGTATGATGGATATAAAAGCTGTATTCCACTCTTCTGGAATTGGTTTACCGTTAGGACAGTTTCTTAATAGTACCTGAAATTCTTGATATAGTTGTACTTTCTACATTTTCTTGTTCTGTTAGGAAGTTCGGTCTATAATCTGTTAATAACTACTTAAAGTAGTCGTTCCATTTTTTGGCGTTATTGGTGATGTTAGATCTCTTGTGTTGCCCAGTCTTAGAGATGTCAGGATTTCAGATATGTATTTATTCTGTCACATGACTTCTGCCATGTTCTTCTGCCATTGCAGTTTACCGTTTCCTCTCCTTATTGTAGTCCCATGAGTAGATACGTAATTTATACAATTATTTCGACTTGATTGAGTGTTTTCAAGTTTATTTCAAGTCGTGTTATTTGCTAAGTAGAACATAATAAACCGCTTACTTAATGGTTATCTTAATCGACATGATTCTTTATGCATATTTGTACTCCAAAGCAACTTTTTTATTAAAAGCTTTTAGAAATCGCCTTCTCTAAATTAAATATCAAATGTTTATTAATATATACAGAGAAAACGCCGACGAAGGATTACTTAAAAACTTTTTTACCACCTAATCTTAATTCTTACTCTAACAAACTTTACTAATAAAATTTCTTGAAGCGTCTCTTATTGCTATACTAACAAACATTTTATGAAAGTAATCTTAACTTCTCCAGTAAAATGAATATTATATGAAAAATTTTTTAATTTAAATAGATCTTGAGGTAACAAATTAATATTATTCTTGAGATGTTTATTAATGAAACTATAAAATATGAACTACCTCTCTAAAGTTAAAATTAATGATATGAAATTTATAAGGATCATAAAACTGAATAACTTGAATTAGTTCCTATAAAAATTTTAATTGGATCGATTTCGATCTCACTTCAGTTAGTCCTAACGCGTTTTTTACAACTGCTTCCTCATAAACAATCTTTACGGACACTTAAAAGTCAGGTTATAGTAATTATCTTAGATCTTTTGAAGAGTTGCATCAATAAACTCGTTTAAATTCGTTTTAACTAATTTTATTTTTGCATGTTTAATAAGGCCTGTAATATCAATTTTTAAAATAACTTCAAACCAACATCGTTAACTGTAAATTTGATTGTGTCACTTTGAAGTTTAACTATAGGCCGCGAAGGAAGGAAGTGAAAAAAGGAAAACAAAAATGTAAGGGAAGTTGCCCTTAATAAAGAGGTTTCAAGTTCTCGCCGAACAAAACGTTTGTCTTTGTTTTCTTTTGTAGGACGGTCGTTGTTTTCTCTCTTTACTTCGTGGTCTAAAAATCGGTTATGAAAGGTATAGCGAAAGTGACAGGGCAGTTGGGCTGTTTGTTTATACTTGGTTTCATCTGATCGGGTAAAACCCTCCGGGGTGGCTAAACTCCCCCCTTAAGACGTCATTCCCATTTTTCTTCAGATCCCAACAATCTTTACTCAACCGTGAAACTGAAATGGATATGACAGCACCGTTTTTCGGAGATTTATATCTTGCGGTTAGAGAAAGTGTTTGGAGAAAAAAAACTTTTAACGGCTAAAATAACGAAAACGATTTAATAAAGATTTGATGTTATTTAGTTTCAGTACACGAAAAATTACTTATATTTCTAAAAGTTGTTAAAATAAGGAGCGTATTAGGTAAATTTAAATTTCAACATGAAAACTTATAATTTAGGCAATAAATCTTTTCTGTTGAACTTACCTCGTCGTCGAAGTGATCTTGGTCCTTCATGTTTTCACGTCGTCTTCAAAATCTTTGGTGTTACGTTAGCAGCCGCTGGCGTGTTCCCGATAATCTCGATGACTTCGATTTTTAACCCGCGGTTCGTCAGCGCAGTGAACATCAATCTCACTCTTTATCATTGTACTTTTTGCAGTTTTCTAGCAACCGCCTTAGGGCACTATTAGTAACCGACTCTGCAGAAACTTTTAATCCAAAATACCCGCACATATTCAATCTGATTTCGCTTAAATTTTCTTTCGTTAATTTATATTATTTTCTTTATTAACTTAATTAAGTTAGGCGACGTTCGTTATTTACCAGACGACGATCTCCCACGGTGACCGACTCATTCGCACACAGATGGGGTGATTCATTATGTTTGTTTTGGGGGCAGCGTTATTGACGTCACTTCCTATCTGTGAAAGACAAGAAAAATAAGAGACAACGAAAGCTTAAGTCGGAGTCTGTGTGATGGTGGCAGGATATATTTATGGGGACATATTAAACCGGGAATAATAGTGATTTATAGGGCACTGTCAAATGGGGTAATTGGACATAAAGCTTTTAAGCTTATTTGAGCATACTTTTTGCCAGACATTTATAACTTCTAAGATTTTTTTTTTGGTGTAAATTGTAATAAAAACATCTCGATTAAGACTTATTTAGTGTTCGTAATTTACCGGGAAAGTTTATTTCTTAGCAAATAAATGCAGTACAAGTACTTATGGGATAAATACAGGAATTTATTTAATCGTAAAACAATTTTGTTCTACAGCGCTACACATAAATACTAGGGAAGTAAATACTCTTAAATATATTGATTGGGTTTATTTTCTTAGTTTTAGGTTCAAGATTATAAATCTTTTAGTACATTTCATTAATTTCCATAAGATTAGAAAGATGTTTATAAACATGAATTCTAAAGTATTTGGAATAAAAATACAACTTAATTCTCTCATTAAACTGTCATCTGCGAAAATTAACTCAGGTGGATCAAATTAAAAGATAATTGTTACATAATTTAACTAAATACTTATTTATCTCAAGCTTTTAAAATCAAGATAGTGCAAAATTTTCGACGAATAACATTTTGTTCAATGAGATCTTGGAAGCTAATCCTTGTAAAAAGCAGAAACATCACAACCTCGAGCTGATCGTTGAGTTATGTCTTCTTAGCCAAATATTTCCCATTGTCCACACATGGAGACAGCAAACAAAAATTTATTGCACCTGTATCTCTTGATAAATAGCCAAAATTGAACATGACAGAATATTACTAAATCATAACATATTCTCAACTTCGCATATAGATTTTCCTGAAATTCTTGTAGTGCAAGAGACTTTATCAGAGGAAGTTGTAGATCTTTTGACTAATTAAGCCTAGGTCACTTACGGCTGAGGCAATCGGGTCAATCATTAATATTACATTAAACTGAAACTGCTCATCATGTTAGGACTAAGAACAATTAATGAGTCATGGATTCAATTTTACGTTGAATTCCCCCATACCTCTGCTATACACCGTAATTGTGTCCGCTTTACACCCATCCACATTCACTTCTCGCTCTCTCTCAGCTCTCTTCCATCGGTAACGCCATCTCTTCTTTGACACCGGTTATGATTCCACCACTCGCTCTTTCCTCTTTTTCTTCTCTCTCTGTATACTGACAATCCCATTCATAACACTCTGGCAGTCCCTGATAACACGTTCGTCGCCGGGTATATTTCCGTGGGGGTCCCGCATCACGCTGGACGATGAACGTGTTAAATTGTTTCCCACCCTGCTATATCCACCCATGTCTCCACCAAACAAATCTCTTCAACCCCCTTCAAATATTCTCACAACTGCCCTCTCTTATTCGTAATCCCCGCCACATTTCACAATACCAGGCTGACCATTTGGTGGAGACAAGAACTATTACTGTATACTCTGCTCTTGTACTAACACAAATTACACCACTTCGAAAGATTGGATCCTCTTGAATCTTCTGATCTGGTTCATATTGTCGCAGATTTGGATGACGTCGACATTAATGTGATGAAGAAGTTGCTATTCATGGAAAACTATTTCTGCAATACCAGCAATGCTCCAGCTCCAGCTGGTGTAATGTTACGGAGAGAGAGAGAAAGAGAATAATGCTTCTTAATACTTTACTTTAATATCGTTAGATTATTTGTAAACTGCTTTTATTGGCAAAACCTCATAGCTAGATGCCACGTGTCTATATAGGCTTGAGAATTTGTTTGCGAGTTTCGTCCAAACAGCCAACCTTTCTGTTTTTGTTATTATGTTTGATATCTAATTCTTGTATTTGACATGTGCTTTCCAACGCACTTTAAGTCCCCGTTGTTTGTAAAATTAATATGAGCAGATTAAGCTTCATTTAACACGTTCACTGCCAGAACGATTTTAATGTATTTTAAGTTCGGGGCCGGGGACATATTTCAAGTGTGGACAAAATTTTTATTTTTTGGTGATGCGCAAAGGTTTTTGCACAAACATTTTTAAATGATTATCATCCCTGTCAAGATATTCGTGGAAAAGTGTCTGGAAAAGTGACGACACGTTGGTTTTGTTCGAATGTTGGTGGTCTAAAAACATGTCTCGAAATTGGATGTACGCAAGAAACTGGCGCTATGCAACACTTTTACTAGGCCGGCTTGCTCAGTCTACGTCATCAAAATTATTAGATGCCGAATATCTGGCGTGTAAAATGCGAAAAACTGATTCCGTCATATTGACCAAGACGGCAGTGTACGTGTCAACTTGATTGCTTGGTCAAGTTATTCACTTGATTTATATCGCTATTTTTCTTCGAAAATCGTAGCTCACAGTCATTATAACAGTATCATCGGCAAAAGTGGCTATCGTGACATGCTCATTCCTCAATTCAGGAATATCAGTGATATCCTGAATTATCCTATTCTCAACTTATACGCATACACTTGGGGATTTATTTCTCATGACAAATAATGAGTAATAGGTGAAAAAAATTGTAGCAAAAGTGTTTTAGTTTCCTATATATACATGAAATTTACTTTCACATCAATTACATATAAGATTTTAAAATGACATTAAAGCAAGTGTTCCTAGTTGTTTCCAATATTTTCTATACACAATTGGGTTCGCTGAATCCACGATGTTCCACTAGCGCCGTTTATACCAGTATCTGATTTTATAATCCTTGCTCAGTATTAACTTCCTCAATATTCACTTCCTCCGCTGCAATGTTAAATGCCTGTGATAACCACTGTATGCCATCCTCAGTATCAGCCAAGAGGATGGCATCATCTGCATAGCACTCAATCGTGATTTTGTACTTTGTAATACTTGCCCTCTTCTAATTCTTTTATCTTTACTTTGTCGAACGTTTTCGTTAGATCAACGAAACAAAGGAAGGCTGCCTGACGTTTTTTCGCCGGAGTTTTATCTGATTCTTTTTGATGCTCTTAACATTTTCCTCAACATTGTGTGATCCGTACATGTCATTCTTCATCTCGTTACTAAATTTCGCCATGCATCATATGTGTAAGCAACTCTTGCAATCAGGATGACATGAGCAAACGACCCACTCAAATGTATGTAAACATTTTTTTGTAGAAAATGAAATAAGTATGATGGTATCAGTTCTGCTGTGTAAGATGACTTCTAGAAGGAAAGACTGTACGCTTTGGTGATGATGTGATAGCGCGTCCTAAACCAGGGTGTTGGCGGATTGTCTCGGCAGCAGTTTGTATCTGATTTCTCAATCTTTGCTTAGTATTAATTTCGGTGACGTATACTATGCTTTTTAAGTGATCTCAAAACAAAAAAACAAGAGGATTGAGGTCGGGCGATCGACATGGCCAGGCCAATAGACTACCTCGACTTGTCCATCTTCCGGGAAGCACTTTATCTAGATGTCGCCGCATGTATCGGATATCTAGGAAATCAAAAATCTTTCACTACAATTTTTTTCACCTATTAGCCATTATTTGTCGTGAGGAATAAATCCTCAAGTATATGCGTATAGGTTGAGAATCACCCTGTATAATAGGTAGAGGACTGCGTTAATTGCTTTAAGTTGAGAGTTAGCGTTTGAGAGGGCTTGATTTGAGATATAAGACTTTAACTGACTTATTAAAACCCTGAGCTACATCTAACAAAATTTTTTGTAATATCTTGGAACAAACTTTTCTTTCTTGCAGATACTTTTCAATTATACCTGTGATCTTATGAATCTGAACAATAGTTTAGTGAGTTTAGTGTTGTAATGGAGGGGCTACCGAAGTACGGAAACCGAAGTAAGGTTTAGATGTGGCAATGAAGAGAAGGCCAATAGATATTGGATGGAGGATAAGCAGATGGGGTGCAGCCTATGTGGGGAAGGCTGGGAGTCCTTACACCATCTGCTGGTGGAGTGTAATGAGCTGAGAGAGGAGGTGATGAATTGGAGGCAGCCGCTGGAGGAGAAGGCGTCGGGAAGGAGATGGAGGCAGCGAGGGGAAAGGGATAGGATTTACCTAAGTTATTGTTATTTGTAATGTTTATACATATACTATAATCTTCTGGGTTTAATTTTACCTTCCTCCTAAGTAAGATTCTCTCAGTCGAAAATATCTTCACCCTGATTTGGTTGGAAAATCCCTTCAAGATATTCATCTGTCTTTATTACTTTTTGCCCACGTACCATCTCCACTTTTAATTAGTAAATTCTGCCAAAAAGAATCGGTCATTCTTCTCTATCTTGTATCATTTTTTCGATCAGTTGTCTCCTTTCTAATTTCTCCATTCCATGAAATTCTCAACCATCCACACTTCTTCCTCCCTGGCGGTACCCACCGTCTATGACTACAGTTGTTATTTTCATTTTTCTTCGAATTTCGTCAGTCGTAATTCGTTGTATTTGAGAATCTCTAGCGGTTCTTCTGAGATAATCTACAACTATAACTTGTAGTCTTTACCATTTCTACTAATATTCCTCCTATTCCTTCTAGAACCAGCGAAATGAGTTAGTCAACAAACTCTGAGTTTCTTGGAGTAGTCCAAAACTTTCCGTTCCTTTGCTTTAATAAGTAGCAATTCTCAATACAGAACCATCTCAAACGATTATTTTCATTGTCGTAGATGAGACATTACAGTCTAGGGGAAAAGATCTCTGCGAAGTTCTTTTTCTTCTTTTATTTATGTCTTAACTTTTTCATGTATCTTTTCAATGGTCTTCCGGAATCTCTTTCTCTAACTAGACTTTGGTCTCTTGCTAAAAATTGCAGAAATCGCTCTGACCTTTTCAGCTCTTTGAATGTGTCCAGTCCATTTTCTTCTTCATCCCCTAAGAAATCTCAAGACATCTTCAATTCCAAATTTTTTCCTTACAACCTCAGACTTAATTACTCCTTGTCTTTCCCACAACTAATTTGTATACCACAACGTGCT